ATTGTTGTACTATTTTGATACTATTCTTGAATATAACTCCTATTGTTACATTTATTTAGATTGTTTCTTTATGTTTCTGAAGATGGTTTAATATTGTTTATATTTGTTTCTTCATTTCTTATATCATATGCCATTTATTTAGTTTTTAGCTTTCCTTATGTTATGTAAAAAGTTTTTGCATTCTTGGTGCTACAGGTTACTGTTTTTTTTTTAATTTGTATTTTGTTTCAAAAATTAATATTTGTTTCTCTCATTTTGCTTTTGTTGTTGCTTGTTGTTTGATAAGCTGTTGTACAGTATCTAGTTAGATGTTGTAGATGTTAAGTAGCTGCTGCTACTTGTTTCTTCCTTTAAACTGTTCTGATACTGCTCTTTAATATAACTTGTAATACGACTTTAATACGTCTTGTTTCTTTGTGTTTCTTTTCTTTATTTATTGCTGTTTCCATTTGTTTCTTTTTTTATATGTATAGAATATGCCAACATTTTTAATTTTTTCCCTTGTTTGTGGTTGTGTATTCAGTTTTTGTGTTCTGTTCCTATAGATTATTCCCAATTTAGTCTTTTTTGTGTTTCTATAATTAACATTTGCTTGTTCTATTGTATTTTGTCGTTTCACTTTCCGTTCAACATTAGTTTATTCTTATTTCTTTTTGTTTCTCTTTGTTTCCATCGTATGTTATTTAATTCTGCAATTGTATCCCCCCCCCAACAAATACAAACAACCACTTAAATAGGTTTCAGAGTAATCGTATTGCTGCATAATATAATTGTCTTTGAACAGATATAATTAGTAGCTACTGGAAAACAGATTGTAAACAACATAAACTTTCTACTTTTGTGGTGCATTCCTACATGTCTTTCTATTGTGCCCTTGTTTCCCACACTTCCCACACTTATTTGTACTTGTACTCTCCCATTGTGCTTTATATCTCTGTTTCTTCGGCCTTCCGGATTTTTTCCTTCCATGTGGTGGATAAATCTTCATTTCTGCATTACCACTGTCCATTTGCCATGTGCTCTGATCTGGAATTGGATGCACAGTCTCTCTATATGTTTGCATCATTGTCTCCTTTGAGTAGTAAGATGAACAAAATTTGTATGGCTCTTGGTTCATTTTTTTTTAGTACTGCCAATGCATGAATACATGGCAACTCATCAATTTGAAACTTCCTACAAGAGCACTTCTTCTCCTCCAGGTTAACAATGAAACTTTTGTTCATTTCATAAACACTAAATATCGCTTCATTAGAAGGAATCACCTGCAATTAAGATTATGAACAAACTATTATTATAATTCCATTTTTATAGGTATTTAGCTACATATTATGCAACTGCTTTGTACCTTTAGCTTCATGCATTTCATGTAGTTCTGCTGCAGCGTTTCATGAGGAACTTTTGCAAGTTCTGTGAAAGTATTTCTTGCAATTTTTCGGTTCACAAAAGTCCACATTTGTACTAATGCGTGCAAGAACTGTAGCAAAGCTGTTATTGGCAGATTTTTATCTTCTTTATTGCTGCATTCAAAGATTCTGCTATGTTAGAAGTCATTGTTGAGTACCTTTTGCAGCCTGAGAAAACTCTTGCCCATTTTTCATAGCCAACTATGTACAGATATAGGACTATGTCCTCATCAATTTTCTTGATTCCTCAATGTGGCTATCAAACTCCTCTCTAGTGTATACTTGTGCGGCTTCAAAATAGCTGTCTTTCATTTTTTTGTTTTTCTTTTAAACTTTGTCTTGAGGTTGTTAAAGAGATGGTAAATGCATACCCCATGGCCACTTTCAGGATACACTTCTGCCACACCTTTTGCAATGCTCTCATGTCTATCTGAAACGATTACCATTTCATCCCTACAACCAAAAGCTTCCCTAATATTTTTGAAAAACCATTTCGAGGAATCATCATTTTAAGAATCAACAACACAGAATGCAAGTGGAAATATTTTACCACACGCATCTTGTGTTGATGATGTCAACAGTGTGCCTCCATATCTCCAGTAAGAAATGTGCCATCAACTACAATAACTGGTCTGCAATATTGCCACCCCTTAATTGATGCATCAATGGCTATGAAAGCGTATAAGAATGTGTTGTCTTCATTAACTTTGAGTTCCAGAAACGATCCAGGATTTGTTTGTTTCACAGTGTTCAAGAAGTGTGACAGAAAACTGTAGGACTGTTCTAGATTTCCTCTCAGCTTATTGAGTGCTTTTTCCTTTACTCTCCAAGCTTTCAAGTAGTTTATTTCAACACCGTACTCCTGTAACATATATCTTTGTATATCACTTGCATTATATGACGTTTTTGGATCCAATAATTTAGCCTTAATGCAGTCTGCTACCAAACTAGCTGTTGCATGCCTTTGATCAGTTAATCTTATTTCCAATTTGCAAGAGTGTGTTTTAATAAACTTTGTAACAGTAAACCTTCCTAATGTTCATGTTCATCTTGCTCTCATCATCCATTTGCAGTCTTCATCCAAGCATTTTGCTACATAGGCTTTCTTGTTTGCCTTATCTGTCCTGTACTGGAAGTGATTTTTTATGGCATACAACTTCAATGTTTTCTTCAACTCAACATAGTTGATGTAAATCAGTCCTACTTCGGGATCCACATTACTGTTGTTGCACTTTGTTGATTCTGACTCCACGCATTTTTCTTTTAGTAGAGCATCTGTTGTTTTATTTTCCCAATGTAATATATAACCACAAATATCCAACTCGTCACTAATTGTTGAGCTTTCTGCAGCTGAAACTATGGCTGCTTGCATCCCAGAAGTTGTTTCATCTTGTTGATATGTATCAACAAACATGTTGCAATTTGTTTGCTCGTGCACATCAGCAAAGGTGATGCATAGACGAAATTTTGTCACATCTGTCTCTTGCTTCTTTAGGTGTAAATAAAACAACAAAGCTGAATTATCTTGTATCATCAATGGTGGATAATGATCTCTGACTTTGTATTGAATTATCAATGAAGTTGATGGTGTTTGTATTCCAATTCCATCACCTGGCTTTGTAATTAAATCAGAAAAGGAACTGTGTGTATCTAAAGTAATTCCAAACACATTGAAGTTATCATATTCCATTCCTTCATTCCAATGACCACCATGATGAACAAAAATAGGTAGTGTTTCCATGTTCCCTGTTATTAACAATACACACATCGTTCTAGCTTTTTCAATTATATCATAGTAGTATTACATGGACAAATAAAAACATATTGTAAATCTTAGCAATTACAATTCCGAGTTTATAATTGTGTAGCAACTAATAATCAAACAGAAACCAAAATTGAAATAATATATTTAAACATATTGAAATCAGTGCACGAAGAGTTGAGATTTTAGTAATCATACTTTTGTTTCGCAGGAGAATTTCGAATAGCTGATGAAAACCTGTGTTCTGCGATCAAAAACTATCCGGGATCGAAACAAATTGTTTCTCTTAAACAATTGTGTTATGCGATCGGAAAATATCTGCGATCAGGTGTATGAAACACATTGGATCTGCGATCAGCTGTAGAATGCTTGAAACTAAGGTCGGCGGAAAAAACCTCCGTATCAGGAGCTGCGATCGGAAGTTTGGTATTTTCTGCGCGCGTATCAGGAGCGGAAGCTCTGGGTTTCTATTTTGGTTAAACGGTTGCCGTTTATATATGAGGTTACTTCTGAAAATAAAAAGTTCCGTATCTTAGTTTTGAAAACAAAATCTAAAATTGAAAAAACTGATATTATTTTTCTTGTTGGGCCTATGTGTGAAAATTTCTCTTTTTTTTAACTCAAACTAAACACTACTTTAATGAATTAAAGACCGCTTACTACCAATAAATTAAACATTTATATAAGGAATTTTGCCACGAAAGAAATTAAGAATACTAATTATATTTATTAATTCCTGAAAACAATCTTACACTAATTATTACTTTTGTTAATACATTTTTATTTTATTTTTAAATCATAAAATATTAAATGATTAAATGATACAGAGTAAAAGTTGAATCATATTTGAAACGTAGTTGTACTTATTACATTAATAAAAAATTAAATAACGTCCTTAGATGTCATTTAACAAATTATCATCTGATTGTAAATAGTTAATTATCCAAACGTCGCTGATAGAGTATATGGGTTCGGACCCACGACCCACAAACTCCTGGATATACAACGGTCCAAGACCATCACACTATTGAGGGTCTCTCAATAAAGCTCAGTCCCAAACGAAGAAGTACGCTCTCTGTCCGTGTAGTCACCTCGGTGTCATCACTTCGGTGATGTCACCTCGGCCACATGTCCCAGACAATCGCTCAGTAACAAGGCCAAGAGAGAACACCTGGCCAGAAGTCGGTCAGAATAACACACATCGAGTTCTGCTACGCTCCAAAGCTCTCATTCATAGAATAACCAACACGTGTAGTGCATTTAATGTAAAACTCATTAATTACTAATCTAAATACCCTCTTTGGGGCAGTTGTAAAGAGTTTGAATCTCATTTAATAGAAGCTCTTTCTCTCTCTAAACTATTAGCTCTCCCTTCTCTCTAACTTTGAATCCCACTAACTTTGCCACTTTCCTATTTAAGTAAAGAATTTGTGCTTCCAATTAATTCTCTCTCCTCTACATAAATCTCAACCACACAGTTTTTACTTTATTAATTCTCGTGCCGGTCAAACTTGTCAAACTTTTAAGGGACATATGCAGTAATTATTAATGAAATATGAATTAAAATTAAAAGAAGGTAAGGGTAGAAGCGTGTTTCTTAGAGCAATTCCAATGCTATAATGTGCACGGTCCACATGTGACATGAGATAGATAGACACAAAATATTGATTTTATAACATTTCTTTCTCCTTCTTTCCACGATCTTATGTGTTTTTGGTAAGTTTTTCTCTGCAATGTTAACCACAATGTCTACATCTAGACATTGTGCTTAACATTGTGAAGAAAAAAACTTAACAAAATGATGTAAAGCCTTATTTAATATCGTTTTTAAATAAGGAGAGAGATCTCTTACCTTCTTCACCACGACAATCGGGAAGTTTTTATTTCAACGATCGGTTACATAAATTTGTGGTGAAGCCCATTCTAAAACGAGACAAAGAGGGAGATGTCGATTCTTTGGGAGAAGAGCCAAACATGGAGGTGGTTAGTTAAGAGGACGAAGGATTCCAAGCCGTTCTTCATCGGCTTCGCTACCGTATGCGGCGTTATTCCCGGCCTGATTGGATATACCGTCATGCAGCTTACTAGCTCCAGCAATCCGGAACTAGAAGCCAAGCTCCGCCGTGATGCTCGGCCCGAAAGCTTAGTACGTCAGCACCCCACACTAATCCACATCCCAAGTCCAGCTTTCTAATTTCTGTAATAAAAAACTCTGATTGATCAAACGAATGAAACCCTAAGATATTACTACCCAGTTCTCAATCCATTTTGACTCTTGAAGTTCATTTTCATTTTTTAGAGATCTGATCCTTTGGTAACCTGAGTGCCTGACAATTTCGGGGAATTTCTCCTTCTGTATTAGCGTGTTTTTTAACACCGTATTTTCTCAATTTTAGATTTATTTCATCAGGTCGATGTGCGTCTAGTATGGGAAAAGTTCTCATAAAATATGTCTTTGTTAAGGAGACCAGTTTAACAAAGTATTTGCCGCTATTTTATGACAAGTGCCAATTATGGTGGAATTGTGGATTCTTTTTTTAGAAAGTTTTTACATCTGCAATTCTTTTCTCTGTCCTATGCAGTTGATGTTTCACAAAAGAAATCATTATCGATAGATTGTTGTTGCACTTGATCTCCTCAGGGCGACCTTTTATTAATCAAATTCATTGCTTCTTCTGATTAGATGATGGGAAAAGTTAATAAAGAGAGGTTAGCAGATTATCTTGGGGAGCTGCAGAGGAAGGAGAATACAAATGACAGATATGTTGCTGCATTAAAAGGAGAGACATTGACCAGAAAACCTTATGTGAGAATACAACCTGTTCCTACCTCTGAGGATAAAGTTAACACAAGGAAGTAGGTTGGGGTTTTTTTGTTCAATAGGTATTGCATTACGGATAGAGCTCATGTGCAATTCAGATAATGCCTATGCCTACTTTATTATATACATTGCAAAGGGTTTCATAAACATGATAATACGTGAAGTCAAGCACAATTTGGAGCCTACTTATTTTCTTGAGCTTCAGTTATTTCTTTCTGTAATGTATTTTAGCTTTCTAAATGACTTTATTGGATGATGTGTTTTGGGGTTGGTTAACCATTAACTTGATTTTATGTACCTGATATGGGTGAGATGAAATGTTGTCAATTGAATATTTAGATGTCATATACGTCTAAAGAAATGAACATGGTTACCAAACTAACTATGTTTTTGGATTGGGATTCACACTTTGAGAGTGTTAGTTAAAATGATGTATGTAGTGTATAGCAAGGAGAAGGGCAGGGATTGGAATCTTTTAGGATTGGATATGCTTATAAATGAGCGGATCATATAGGGTTATTAGTTCTCCCCTTTGGATTACAAAGTAAATGGCAAGAGTGGTTACTTTTTTTTATTGTCAACTCAATAAAGGAAAAACAGATTTTTTGCCTTCCATTTGCTCCATGTTGTAGCATGTACATGCTGCCATCACTTCATACTATTATCAGGTACACCAAATTGTTCATTACTTTTGTTGTCTTAAAAACCATATCAAACCCATACGAATTCTCACACTTGATAGTGGGCAAATGCTAGTGCTTGACTAGGTAGGACCCCAGTGGATAGTGTGGACTAACTTGTTCAGTTAGTTCATACCTATAAGGCCATAAATAAGGCAACCTTGAAAGCTTGTTGTAAGACATTAGTTCATTACACCCGTTGTACCTTGTATTCTTGGTTGGTTGGTTTGGGCGTGTTGGTCCATTACTGCAGGGCTTTTACCTCACGCTCACAGGCACACAATCAGAAAATATGATTTTTGTTAATCAAAAGAAAAAACAACTGCAAGTTCAACATGTTTGCAACTTTGCATATATTTAGTCAAGATTAATTAGGTTTATACGTATTTTCATTGTGTCGAGTATATTTATAGTTTGACCTAAATAGACAGTTTGCATATATTTAGTCAAGATTAATTAGGTTTATACGTATTTTCATTGTGTCGAGTATATTTATAGTTTGACCTAATTATGTCTATTGGGTATTTTGAACATGCAACCAAGATGTCATCAACATATACTTGTTATTGATGAATTGCTTAAGTTTGATGATTTGTTGCATGTCAGTATGTCATCAACATATACTAGTAGTATTAAGGTGAAATGATGTGTATGTAGTGTGAATAAAGAGTAGTCCACATGTGACTGAACAAAACCATAACTCTTCAATGTAGTAGAAAGTTTGGAGAACCACTGCGTATTAGCTTGCTTGAGGCCATATAGACTCTTCAGTAAGCGACAAACTTTGTTCTTTTGTTTTTGTTCAAATCCTGCAGGAATATTCATATATACCTCTTCATGTAAATCTCCATGAAGGAATGCATTGTGAACGTCCAATTGTTCCAAGAACCAGCCTTTTGAAGCAACCAAAGCAAGAAGTACCCTAACAGTTGTAAATTTGGCATCAGGGGAAAATGTATCAAGGAAGTCTAGGCCTTCAATCTGGGTGAATCATTTGGCAACTAACTCTTGCTTTGTAACGTTCTATTGTACCATCTGCATGATACTTCACTTTGTAAACCCATTTACACTTGATAGGAATTTTCCCTAGAGGCAAATCAGTAATGAGCCAGGTACCATTGGACTCAAGAGCAGTAATCTCATCTTGCATAGTCTTTCTCCAATGTGGATGTAAAGCAGCTTGAGTATAGGATGTGGGCTCAATAATATGAGATATGGCAGCACAAAAAATTTGATGTGAAGGAGAAAAATGTTTGAAAGTAATGTAATTATTCATAGGATGAAGAAGTTTACCTGATTTTGGATTGAAGGATGAGGATGAAGCAACTGCATTTTCAGTCTTAGTGGCTGTACATACATAATCTTTAAGGTGAGAAGGCATTTTTCTTGGTCTGGATGGTCTGAGTGAAATGGATTGATTTTGATCTTGAGATGAAGTGGGAAGGATAAGAGGGTCATTGTTAGTTTGAGAATAAATGTTTTCTGTAAATTGATGGATTGTTTCAAGGATAGAATTCTCTTGAATGAGAGAGGGAAAGGACTGTATCATTGATATTGGATGAAGAATGGCTAAAATGAAATGTGTTTTCATGGAAAACAACATCCATAGAGATGAAGGTTTGACAAGTATCAAGATCATACAACTTGTATTCTTTGGTATGAGGAGGATATCCAATGATTGGAATTTGCTTTTGTGTCCAATAAGGTTACAAGCAAAGCAAAGACATCCAAGAGATTTGAGAACAGAATAGTCAGGCATGTGATTGTGAAAGACTTCAAATGGGGATTTATTTTTCAAAACAAGGGTAGGTAGTCTATTGACAATGTGATAAGAACTTCGAAATACAGAGGGAATTACAGAATATCCGTATACAAAGTCCCAGAGAAGGAGATAATACTCCAACTTCCCAATCCTAGACTCAAAGTCTAAACAACCTGCCTTCCTACAGCAGCTTTATTCTATTTATAGCCTTCACAAAGGAAGGTAGTTATTAGTTACAACCGGCCAACTAATAACTAACTAGTCTACTTTGACTTTCTAGAATAGACCTGCCCATAAAATATCCTTATTAAGCTGACTAGTAATGTCCTTATCAATACCCCCTTTGGATTATTTTTGAGCATTACCAACTTGCCCTCAAGTTGCAAGTCTGGGAATTGACTTTGGAGCATTTTAATTTCCTCCCAAGAGTCTTCGAAATCAGGAAGATCCTTCCAATGTACAAGGACCTCCTTCTTCTCTTCCTTATTTATTCTGCAGCCTCTCACCACTTCAGGATTCACTTGTAACTCACAATCTTCTGTGAGACAATCTGGGAGGCTTTGATAATTCACAGTAGGTTTCAACACCTTCTTCAACAAGGAAATATGGAATATTCTACATCCTTCTGGTAGTCTTAGTTTATAGGCCACAATACTTATCTTCTCTGCAACTTCATAAGGACCATAAAATCTTGGGCTGAGTTTCTGGTTAATCTTCTTGGCTAAACTTTTCAGTTTACAAGGTTGTATCATTAAGAACACCTTGTCTCACACTTCCAATTTCTCCTCCCTCCTGTGTTTATCAGCTTGCTGCTTCATCATATTATGTGCCTTAGCCAGGTTCTCTTTCAATTCATTCAGCAGTATATTCCTTTCAGCTGTCATTTTGGCCACTTCATCAACTGAAGTCAAACTGACATCACCTCTGATGATAGAAGGAGGTGGTTGTCCAAACAAAGCATGATAAGGAGTACTCTTCAATGAACTGTGGTAGTTTGTGTTGAACCAGTATTCAGCCCAAGGAAGCCACCTCACTCATTGTCTAGATAAAAATTTAAACTCAAGTGTGCATTAGATGAAATTGAAATGTGCGGAGTAAAAGGAACAAAAATAACATCACATCGTACCTTTTATTCTGTACATTTCAGTTTCACCTAGTGCACATTTCAATGTCGCCTAATGCACAATTCAGCTTCACATAATGTCATTGTATCGTACCATTTGTGCTGCACATTTCAATTTCACCTAATGTACATTACAGTTTTATCTAATGCACATTTAATTTCACCTAAAACAATTCAAACGGTCCAGATTAATTCTCATTTCTCTCCTAAGATCATGTTCTTATTTGAACCAAAACATATATATAATTATATATATAGATAAGAGATCAAATACAAACCATGCTTAAAATACTAACCTACAAACTCAATAATATGCATTAGATTGAACTTCAATATGCTGTAATAATAATGTAAAGATGCAGGGGTGGGATCACATACAAACTAGTCCTACCATTCAAATCATCTTTACATTATTTGTATTGCACATTGAAATTCAAAATGTTTCATATTATTGAAGCCATAAAATAGCAGTTTCATATTTACATTATTTGTATTGCATATTGAAATTCAAAGAGTTCATCTTTACATTATTTGTACTGCATATTGAAGTTCAAAGTGTTGCATATTATTGAGTTTGTAGGTTAGTAAGTTAAGCATGGTTTATATATATATATATATATATATATATATATATATATATATATATATATATAGAGAGAGAGAGAGAGTAGTGTTCCGGTCAGGAATTCCTGACCAGAAGCGCCGTCCGGATGGCGTCATTTGGGGACCATCCCGGCGACATTTTTTGATGAATTTTTTATGGAATGTTCTTCATCAAGTCTAGTTTATAAAAAAATTCAGCTAAAAACTCAATCGGAAAATACATATAGTTAACTTCCAAAAATTATTTGACGAGCTTCCCGAATGCAGTTTTAGCTGCATTTTTTTGTGGATAAACTAGACTTGATGAAGAACATGCCATAAAAATTTCACCAAAAAAATTCACCGGGAAGGCGGCCAAACGCCGCCGTCCGGACGGCGGTTCTGGTTTGGAAAACCTGGCCTGAACATTTGTCTATATATATATATATATATATATATATATATATATATATATATAGGTTTTGGTTCAAATAAGAACATGATCTTATGAGAAAAATTAGAATGAATCTGGATCGTTAGATTTGCTTTATTGAAATTCAATGTGCATTAGATGAAGCTGTAATGTGTATTAGGTGAAATTGAAATGTGCAGCACAAATGATACAATTTAGTGGCATTATGTGAAGCTAAATTATGCATTAGGTGAATTTGAAATGTGCACTAGATGAAACTAAAATGTGCAAAATAAAAGGTATGATGTGATATTATTTTTGTACCTTTTATTCTGCACATTTCAGTTTCACTTAATGCACATGTGAGTTTAAATTTTGATTCTGCACATTTCAATATCATCTAATGCACATTTTGGTTTCACCAAATGCACAATTCAGTTCCACATAATTCAATTCAACGGTTCAGATTCATTCTCATTTCTCTCCAAAGATCCATTTTTACCGGAACTGCTCCCTATATATATATATATATATATATATATATATATATATATATATATATATATATATATATATATATATATAGGGAGGGGATCAGTTGAGAAGTGCTCTTAGACTGAGAAGCTGAGAAGTCTAACTTATAAGCAAAAAACACGAACTTTTAACCAAAAAATCATAACTTATAGACCCCCTCAAAAACACGAACTTTCTGCAAAAAAAAAATTCCAGGTTTCTGGAGTTATTTTGACGCGGTGGCAT